TGTTAAATGTCATTTTATGATCGCTGCACCATGACAAAAACAACAAAATTCATTCATTTTTAGCAATTAAAATACATATCTAACAATCCCTACTTGCAAAATAGTGGAGCTAATCAATGGGTCCATGCATTGATCAAGTTGAAGGTTTAACATCTCTCCCCCCCCTTTCCTGGGCATTTAAACTCTTGATAGTTAATTCGTTCAAACTCCTGCCCCTTAAGTAAGTAATTAGTAAGTAGTTTATTCAAACACATAGACACCTATGAGTTGACAAAAACTCGATCGAACTTGCATGTGCATGAAAAGAAAAATAAAATTTAAAAAGAGTAAGAAATAATAAAAAGAACCAAGTGAAAAACTTCTACCACATAAAGATGTGATATTTATGCTGGATAAAAACTAGTATAAATATTCTAAGTTAAATTTTTGAATGGGCTTTTTAAAAAGTTTTGAGATTTTATGATTTTCTAATGTAAAGTGGAAGCTTATTCCATAGTTTGCTAGCAATGAAAGAAAATGATTTATGCTTCCACTTAGTGTTAATATGAGGTTGTACCAAGTTCCTTCCCCTTACCCCTTAAGTTGTAACATATAACCTTATTTAACAATCATTCGCCGAAGGCGAGGTGAATATCGTCGAATAATCCCCGAGACGAAGTCGAGGGGATTATTGGACAATATTCACCGAACCTGAGGCGAATAATTGTTTTAGTATAATTTCAGAGCAGAACAACAGAGAAATCTCTAAAATCATAACATTTTAGTAACATTTTAGTTTAACATTTTATATAAACCGCGTGAAGCGGTTTATATAGCGTCATATAAGGAACCGCTCGACCAATCAGATTGCAGGAAACTCTTCGCTCAGCTCTGAAATTATACTAAATTCAGATATTCGGCAATTTACTTTGGACTTATAGAGTTAAGACATTTGTAACCTACCATCAGAGCTTGGTTATAACGACGGTGTTTCAAAGTATTCATTCCTACAAGACTCAGTAGGGTTTCGTAACTTTCATTCTTGGTCCTAATTAACAAATTGGTAAACACCACAGCGTACACTATTGAGTTATGGACGCACGCGGGAGGTTGCTAAGCACGAAAGAAGCGTAAGAGTCGCTCGAGGCGATAGCCGAGAGCGACTCTAGCTTCTTGAGTGCTTAGCAAACCTCCCAAGTGCATCCATAACTCAATAGTGTACGCTGTGGTGTTTACCGTTTGTTTTATATCATAACATTGATACATTGTAGCTAAAGAGTTCCCTTTTAGTTAACAAATCTTACGTGACCAGAAAAAACAAGCGCGCACGGAAAAGTAGTCTTTGCATTTAATCACGTCAGCAGCGTACACCCATGGGCAAATGGGGGACGCTAAATTGACCAATCAGAGCGCGCGCTTTACTTTGGTTATGTTATAAATAGAGTTCTTAAGATATAATAGTTAACATGTTCGAGTCTGTCGCTCTGCACCTTAGCAAGACAAACTAAAACTATATTACAATTTTCTGAATGTGGAACTATATTGTGTTCACCAGAATAAAGCGAGATATTCGTTTAAGAGCTGATGTCTTGGGATAAATTCTCTGTAACTGTACTGTGCCAAAATATGATCCTTGTAAGAGATCTTCCTATCCAACGTTACTCCAAGGATCTTGGAGTAGAAAAGCGAAAAGATATTTGAACCGCAGAGGAAGTGAATAAGTGGGAGTGAGGATTGGAAGCCACTGAAACGGAAGTAAACATTCAGGTATGAGGATTGGAACTTGGTGCAAAGATGGCAGGCGCACTTTTACAAAGGGCGTTTCTCTGGATTTCTAACTTCTCAAGCGCTTTTCTGAATTTGTAACCGGTTCTAATCTTCTTCAGCTTAACCGATGCTCTTTCTTTAGTGATAAACACGGGGAAATTGTTCGTTTGTGTTTTCACTTGGCTCATGTCTTTTTTCTTCTCGTGCTCTGCTCTTGTCCCTTCCTATCTCAGACCCTCATACTCACATTTAGACTTGTAAACGAGCTAACATCGAAGAAATAATAATAACAATCTTGTATTAGGAAGCTCCATCACAAGAAGAAGATCAAGTTCATCGTCCGTCCACGAAAACTCCTTAGAAAATGCGCGAAAAGAAACCGCTGTACGTAGCTATAGGTATTAAGTTGCATTTTCAGTACCAAGCCCTTTTCTGCCAACTTTTCCGGTACGGTCTGTTAGACTGTGTCAACGACTTGTTCCAGTCTTCAGCCGTTTATGTTCATATCAGGTCGGAGTATTTTTTATATCGACGCGATAGGCTGTCCCGATGAACCTTACAGTAACTAAACTCTACAACCGTTTGGCTGCCGGTCCTCTCTCATATTTCCTTGTGGAAATATGAGAGAGGACCCTCGGAATGAGGTCGAGGCCGAACAAAACAAGTGAAGTGCTAGTTGGGCCCAGTCCAATATGTGTACTCAACGTTGTTTTTCTGGTCCGCGTTCAAACACATCGTTTTTTTTCCCTTCATAACTATATTCAGGACGACAACCGTTTTTAGTCCAAACCTGTATTTTTTTGCATTCACCTCCCATCAAGTTTCACGTTACCTTTTAAGCCATGTCGTTCCCGATGGCACTATGTCTCGAAAACACGTTCTGAAAACTTGGCTTGTTGGTTTCTTTTTTTTATTTCACTTAAACTCGCATAATTGACTACGGTATCGTGATCATGTAAAAGGTCCCTAACTAACGCTTAAGAATAATAATAGTTTATTGACTTCTAAGACGCAAATTCTATGCATATATATTCAAATGCGCCGAAATAATAAATCAAACAAAGACTTTAAATGAACCGTAGTGCATGAAAATCCCCCAGCAGGAGGGAGACCGGAAGGCCATTTACAGAGCGCAGCCGAAGAGTTGAACTCGGGGCAACCGAGAACAAATCCAGCGAGTAAAGGGTGAAGGACTCAAACCCAGGCAACCGAATTACAAATCCAGCACCCTAACCGCTCGGCTACGCCGCCTCCTCCTCTAGTTGCATTCGAAACCGTTCAGGAATATGAACTACGAATTGTCTAAGTGGCTACAGATGCCGCAGTTTTCCTTGAAAGCCCTAGTCTCTTCGAGTCTTCCTGTTTGAGGGGAAAGGGATGATTTTATCAATTAGGCCCTTATCGATTGTGATAGTAAAGGTAGCATTTTGTGCTACCAGCAGTGCTCAATATTTTTCCAAATGATGCTCAAAGTTATGCTTAAAAGTATGCTCGTTTTTGAAAATTATGCTACTTTTTCTTAATGTATGCTTAAAATAAAAAAAACACAAAACTAGCCGAAAAACCAAAATTATATATTTATTGTTGGCATCATATTTTCTTTATCTTGAGTTTAATGTATGCTTAAAATAAAAAAAACACAAAACTAGCCGAAAAACCAAAATTATATATTTATTGTTGGCATCATATTTTCTTTATCTTGAGTTATACAATCGCTCTTATAAAACACAACCAACTACTGCACTTCATTCCAGACCAGAATCGGTGACTAATGTCAAAATGTACGAGTTAGATGGTGTGCTTAGGGGCCGACTATTTAACTCTTGAGGGGGGGGTGGGTGATTTTGAAAAAAAATTTCCCGCAAGCGCTTGTTGGAAGAAAAAAATTGCATGCAGCCCAAATGTAACAGAAAAAAAAAGAGCATTTAGAACGGAAAAAAATCCTGCACAGCAGATCGCTAGAAAAAAATTTCTTGATGACCAGAAATCACCCACCTCCCCTCAAAAGTTAAATGATCGGCCTCTTAGTCCTCTAGACGACGAACGACGCAGTATTGCGGCGCGGTAACCTACTTCCCCTCCCCAGACAAATGAAAATAAACTGAAACATGGACAGAACTTGAAAATGATCAATATTAGAGACCAAGCAAGTCATGACTCTGGTAATGAGTATGCCTAATTCAGAATTTCGAGGCAATTTTAAAGTCATCATATTGCATCCTCGAAACATGCTAAGAAAAAGAATGACGTTGAAATGATGCAGTTATTTGAGGTGCAAACATTCCTGGACCCCAAATGTTCAGTAAGCCACCAATTCAAAATACGGAGTGATTTATACGCAGCGTGCTTTACTTTCTCCTGGATCAACAACATCTTAAGTTATTCTGGGCTTTTAACTAATAGAAGTGCGTGAAACTACTTGTTTATCGAGGGATTCCACTTTAATAATTCTCAAGACATTCGTGATATATTGCAGACTCACGCCGTAATTACCGCGGAAGTCATTTTTATAACTCAATCATGTGCAAAAAAGGAAAACGAAATTTCTCGCCAGAAGGCGGAAACCATGTTTTATGAGGCAGCCCAGAGCAACCAAATAAACGACAAATGCGACGTGTGAAACAATTTCAGCTTGAGAACCGCATGCTGTTCACTCGACGATAAGATTCCGCAAGTTGTGGTCTATGAATGTGGCCTTACAATCTCACGGGTATTTTTTCTTTATTGGCCTTCAGTAATTACTTTCAGAGCTTGTTTCGAAACGCGTAGTTAAGAGGTTTGTCGGCTAGCATCGAAACATGAACAAGCTGCATTGTCTTACACTAGGCCAATATTTTAATGAAAAGATGTTCTCACGTAATACTGGGTTCTTAAACAATGGTGCCAAATTGGTCACAGTTGGATGGAGATACTTCAGTGGAAAAATAATCCACAATCTCACGAGATTTATTGAACTTGTTATATAAGAGAGATTGGCTTTTTATCCTACTGATCTTGCACTGAGTTTACCGACTCACATGAATATATTTGCATAATAATGTCAATTTCAAAGAGGATTTAATTGAATGGTTCACCAATGATTATAACAGCAATTTTCCAAAGGACAATCCTTAGCCATAAGTTAAGAAACGACAGTTGGCGAGGTTTCTGAACGTTTTCTGTAAATAACATGACCTAACTGTCAAACTTTTTAAATTTAAACAAAATTAAATATTAAATTTAAAATTCTATTTTCAGTCGTAAATAATATCGATCTTAAGTCCACCAAACTTGGCACGATTGGCTGCATTGGATGATTGGCATACCTGTATGCGATCTGATTGGTTGGATTACCTCAACGGACACCACCCTTTCATGTACGAGAAAATGATCGAGCTATAGGGTCCTGCTGTATGTTTAGAAGCTATTCTCTCGTTGAAGAATCCGAAGAGTCAACATGAAGATTTTCGGTTCCGTCGTTCTGCTGTTCGCGGCTTTTTTCTCCTCGACTAAAGGGGACAAGTCGATGTATAAAATGGAATCCTACGATAATGGCAACTACAAAGTGATGTGGAAATACGACATGATCACGGACATGTTTTATTTTAACGTCACCGTGAAGGCAACCGGCTGGGTTGGCTTCGGTGTGTCGAAAACGAAAGGAGGGATGAAGGACTATGATGTGATGGTTGGAGGTGTTGACAAAAGTGGTAAGGGCTATGCAAAGGTGAGTGTTTTACCTTGAGAGAAATTATGACCCAGAGTTTTAAGTCAAGCACTTTTATCTTACATCAGGGAATATTAGAGTAACAGTTTTCTTGGGTTAGAAAAAATAAAGGAAACTCGATAATATTCAAAACTCAAGGATTACGCGAAAAGGAACGACGACTGCTCACAAAAGTTTCAACTATTGTCCCTCAACTGGTAACGCTTGCATTCAGTTTGACAAGTTTATCAAACTATATCTCTCGATCCGGCATGTTTCTCAGTTGCAGAGTAAAGGCCTCACAAACTAAACTCCCGATCATAACAGTTGCCTGATAATCTAGCTATCACTTAAATTATGAAATAGCGGTGAAATGAACCGAATTTCAAGTCTCACAGGGCAAAGTAAATTATTGGTGATATTAGACCACGCAAATTTGTAATATTTACCAGTGCATGTATACACAAGACTATCTAATTGTTGTCAGCAATCCACGAAAAAAAAAAAAAAAACGGCCAGGTTGTCGCACAATTCTCAGTACTGAGAATACTTAGCGAGGAAGGTCGAACTAAGCTAACAGTACTAGTTTTCTTTCAACCTTCCTCGCCTAGTTCAGTCTCAAATGAATTATGTAAAGCAGAGTCATTGTTGTTCGACGCCATTTTATCGACAGGACTATTTGACTACAGAGCAAGCTATGCCGATGCCACCAGATGCAGAACAAAATTACAATCTGACGAACTCCTGGGAAATGAACGGCTACACAAGCTTGATGTTTTCCAGGAAGAGAGACACTGGCGATACTCAAGGCGACGTAGTAATCGAGGTGAGATCGATAGAGATCCAATCCAAAATTTATCGTGCATCATGCTACTTTACCATAATAATATGCATACTATTGAAATTACGTAAAGCCACGTCATGTTGTTCTGACGTCAGTTTCCACCGGCCTGATATTGATCGAGCGTAAACATTTTAAAAAGAACGTGTTTGAACTTAACTCGTTCGAAAAATTGTCTATCCTTTGCGAAGAATTTAAACACCCAGAACTTGTTGTTTCAGTTTTCTGGGATGTTCTTCCTTTTTGAAGGCCGGCTGTAGGGTATTTCCTTACAATAAGGGTACATTTGAAATTTTCATGCATTTTGCCATTGTGAAATGAGAAAATCCTGCGTGTTTCTGAGCGGCGCGAAGTTCTTGATACTGTGGATAGAGTCATGCAAGAGCAAATTACCGCGCCGTCGTTACAACTGTATGTGATTACTATGAAAAAAAAAAACGCAATTACCTCCGCATAACATATTGAGTTTTGTTTTTGTTTCAATTGTATAGCATCTTTTCCCTCATGGCCTCAAGGGATGCGTGCTTAGGGTCACATATTGATATACAACACAAATAGCAAGCAACTTTCGAAATATGATGGATAGCTTCAACTTCTTTTAACGTCGATTCGCGAAACTTCACTTAAGGGCTTCTTTGTCAGTCCTACCAACATGAAACTTCCAAAACCATTGCTTCTTATTTATTAAAACAACAGGGAATATCGGACCTTCAGGGGGAAACAATTGATATTAGACTTATGACGCTGCAAAGTCACTGCAAATAAGGTTATTTTCCGAAACAGGCCATGTGTTGCACGTCCCGCGGCTAGCCAACGGAAATCAGATTTTTAGGTACTTCTGGTGGCAAACACGTTCCGATCATTCGGTTCGTTCATACTTCAGATGGATATCTTTGAATGTACAGCTTGACTATTTGGCAATCACAATATCCAATCCATCTATCAATTTTATGATCTACAGCATTCAAAGTATTGCAGTTATGCCTAGCGACTATCAAATCGGAGTACTGCAAAAGGAAAAGAAGGAAAATTCATCGCATTCACACGGAAATCTGCGCTAAAAATATCGTTTAGCCGCCCTTTCTTTTTAGCGGGTTCACTTGACATGAGATTGGCTATAGAAACTCATGGTATTTACGCAACCAATTAGAAGGCTGAAGTAGAAAAAAAATATCATTTCGCTTATGCGGGTTTTTCCGCGCCGCAAGTTTTTCTTTTGTGTTTCTTTCTAAAATCAACTTGAAGGTGCAAATCGGTGTGAATTATGGTGGTGTAAAGTACATATAATCACTCCTATTATTCGCTTCGTTTGTTATTCGTACCCTGGGGCTAAAATTTATATTACAAACAACGAAATAAATGATGTTCGACTACAGTTATCCTTGCAAATGCGTCTCAAACTCTTAAGAAAACGCAAACGCATAAATAGCTAGGAGGCTATTAAAAGGTAATGTGGATATATCAACAAATTTGAAATGGTAAATTGGCCACCGTAACGAGTACAAAAGCTGACGTTTCGAGCGTTGGCCCTTCGTCGGAGCGAATAGAGGAATTGTGGGTTGTGTTTGCTTTTAAAGGGAGAAAATGGAGCTATACTGTGATTGGCTATTGAGAGGGATACGAGATTAGTATACGTGTAAAACAAAAATAACCTAATGCAAGATAGCTCAGTTTACTTGAATTATTTGCGTTGTTTGGTAGAAGGAAAAATGTAAACAAAAAAATTAATTCTTGCCTCGATTTGAGCCTCGTCACCAGGCAGAGGGAGCATTAATAACGGGCCTTGTTGTGAACAGATACTGCTCACAAACTTTTACGTGTAGTATGGGTAGGGTCCAGAACTAACCAAGTCCAAAAACACTCAGGAATAAGGCTGACAACCTGCGACAGTTATTTCACATTTGGTGCATCACTCCTTTTATATCCTCGACTTGATAGGCTTGTAACTTTTTCTTTCAATTTAAATGCATAACCTAACAAACCTAACGAGAATGGGAATTGAAGATTGCATCAGCCAGGCGTAGAGTTTCTCTCGATAATAATCCCGCCTGAGTTATTACGCCGGTAAACCGATAGAAAGTGAAGTTTATTGCTTACTTAAACCTAGTCCCCTTATGTCACCTATCTTATAGGCAAGATTAAGCGAATCCTGTGTTCCGATTTGCTACTCAATGCCCGCTTGGGATTGCCCGCTTTATCCCGCGCAAGGAAAAAAGTGCGTGGAGCGGACTTAAAAAGTTCGTAACTTTTGGACAATGTCGGCGACGAAGTCACAAAAAGGGGCAGAAGACTGTCAAAACAGTGAAAAACCTTGACGACCCCCACGGGTTTATTGTGCTGCAAACGCAGTTGGCTTTCTTTCCCGGCTCTCGAAATGAACAAATCATTCTTGATTCTAGTTAAACCGAAATCTTCTTGCATAAAAATAAATCCTTTATTAACCAAGCTCGTTCGGTCAAGATTGCTGGATATTACCCTCGTCCTTTCTTTTAGCGTTTTACGGACCCCGACTTCGTCGCTTGGTCAATAACGCATATGTATAGGAGCTAACAGAGGAAATAACGTATCCGATTATGGCGACCAAAGTAATAAGGACTAAATTCACGGTAGATAAAGGTTGCATAGGCGTACAGTGTAACTAGTTTCCCTGGAATCTCATCTGTTTTTTCCCTTCGGAATGTCTACTATGAGCTATGTATGATGTATCTTGCTTGAGTGTATCATAACATGAACGATATCATTACCGCGAATAGAATAACGGGTTATCGAAGGGGAACATTCTACAACAAGGCAGAGTAAGCGCCCAGTGTGGGGACTTCTCTTAAAAATCTGATCTTTTTTTTTTCGCTTTGGAATTTCTAGCCAGGCATGATGTACCTTATCTGGGCCTATCATGACATGTACGATGTCAATAAGACCGCGAATTACACATTCAAGAAGCACACTAAAAGGGATGCAGTGGAATACACTTTCATCGAGCCCGGTTTCACCAAGGTGGCTATAAATAACAACTACGCGATGTACTGGAAATACAACGCAGGCGAGGACATGTTTTATTTCAAGGTCATGGCAAAAGCAACAGGTTGGGTTGCCTTTGGCGTGTCCACTCAGGGTGGAGGAATGAACGGTTACGATGTAATGATTGGCGGAGTGAACAATGGTACGGGATATATTGGGGTGAGCCACCTTAAACGTGTGCATGTCTACGCTGCACTTAATTCCAGTAACGGTTCTCAAGGAAAAAAGAAAAGGACTAGGGAGCACTCGTCCATTTACCCCTGAGGCCTGGATTTAGGCGATTCTCAGTCCTTGCATCTTACCTGTCCTCCGTTCCATCCCCCACTTCCCC